TTTTTGACCAGTTTGGTTTGGTTCAAAACCATTTCGTTGACGGGTCCATGTGGCACCAAACTGTCGGTTTCGAAATTGCAGTTTCGATTCGATTTTTCAATTTGACGGTTTTTACTTACAATCCTACCCCTGGGTTCGGAATTTTTGGAAGTCAAGGAGGAGATTAAAATATCCATGCATACCTCATTTACTTATTTATTTTTTTACTTCTTAAATATAATTTAAATTGTTAAATAAAAAAGACTAAGCTTAGAATTAATTTAATAGCAAAAATTATTTTCAAAATAAGTAATTATAACAACCATCCACATCCATCAAAACCTTATCCACTCAAACACCATACATTATCTGTACACTCCAAAAAGCTTGCCCATTCCCACACTACACCTCAAGAAAAAAACATGGCAACACTTAATGTAACATATCCTTCTTTCACATTCACTACACCAAGAAAACAGATCAAATTCCCTTCAGCTCAACCATCACATTCCTGGTTAAGAACTTCTAGCAGCAGATTATCCAGCATTGTCCAAGCTTTCAAGGTACAAGTTGAACATGAAGGTAAAACAACTGAACTAGAGGTTGAGCCGGACGAGACAATTCTATCCAAGGCATTGGACAGTGACTTGCAAGTGCCATATGACTGCAAGTTAGGTGTGTGCATGACATGCCCGGCTCGACTCCTCAGCGGAATGGTCGATCAAAGTGAAGGGATGCTGAGTGATGATGTTGTGGAGAGGGGTTATGCTTTACTCTGTGTATCTTATCCAAGATCAGATTGTCACATTAGAATCATACCTGAGGAAGAATTGCTCTCTCTGCAGCTAGCTACTGCCAATGACTAAATCTGATGTGTCTGTTGGTTACAATTTTCAGTTTGAAGTAAGGCAATAATATGACTAGTGTTTGGAATGTATAATAGAACACAGATGCTGGTAATTGTTACTGTTTTTTTCTGCCTTAATCTATGAGAGGAATATGCAAAATATGATTGTGCAAAGTCGGATTCTGAATGCAAAGGTTAACAATATCTTGTATTTGCTTGCTGGAATTTCTCAGTTTTGAAGAACATTTAGGCTTCTACATTAAATTTCTGGAACAGCATTCTCCCCTACAACCAAGAATAATCAAAATTTGTTTGCTTTTCAGTCTAAAATATAAGCACAAGAAGATCTAGTTGGAAACACCTGCTATCAATAAATACGGTTCTTCATAGATAAAGGTATCAAATTAGGCAATGTGTTGAGTGCATAGTTCATGGCTGGTATTATATATATTGAGTTCAATACTGCTACTCAGAGCTGAATGTAAACATAAGGTCTATTAGACATAAAACAAATTTTGGCTGTATAGTCATATTATTTACTAAATGTTGACACACAGTAGTCCATACTTGTATACCGTAACCAAGAACCAGCCATGGTTCAGACCAAGACTTCACTGTGACCAACCACGGCTGTGAATATGCATGGGGATGGGGGGTACCGCACCTATTTCAGAAGTAGGCAAAAGCCCATGTTTAACTAATGTTTATAAACGGTTTATAATTGGTCCAACCACTTTTTATGCATAAATTTCATGGGATCAACAAATACAACCCACTTATCCACCTCTCATTTCTATCTATTTAAAATTTAAACAACTTATAAACACTTCCTAAACATGCAATTTTCACCCCCCGATGCCTGCTTTTTTTTTATCAGGAAGTTTGCCAACGAAGCATTCAACACTTTTGTTCGGTGAGAAATATGATCATATAAGAAAAAATTGGTACCTAGGACATAGTAAGAATCCATATACGTATCCAGTATAGCATATGGCAAACCACATTTTGCAATCCAAGTCCACAAAGCTCAGTGTTACTGCTGAGTTCTCAGTGCAAGGCTACCGGTTTTTCTGGATTTTCTCTGCTTAAGTTTCAACCTCACATCAATTCCATTATCAATTATGGACTTGAGTAAAATCTGAAGCTTCCCTCCAATTTCTCCCGTGTCCTTGGAGTATAAACCACATTATGAATATCATCAGCCCCTCTGACCCAACAATTCCCCAACCACAGCACAAGTATTTCAATTCTTAGTCGAACCCAAATCAAATTTCATGTCCTTGGGAATAGACAACTTTGCTAGTAACACAATGAATAATGCTAGCACACACAACTTTACAAGAATTTTAGATCAAAACGAACTGCTCTTTCATACATTTTGTTGGGTATTTTTTTGATGCCCAAATAATTCCTAGGCGATGATGAAAAACCGTGGCCCGTTTAACTTTATAGGCTATAAGCCTGGGATAGAAGAATGTTGAATCCACACCACAAACGTTTATAATCCAAATCTTTTTGGGTATTTGGAGGAAATCAGCCCATTTGGCTAGATGCTCAATACCCAATTAAGGAAATATTTGAAGTGGAAATCCTATCTCTTATCTCCTTCACGGTTTGAAACTCCTCCTATCTCTTATCTTCCTCAAGCTTTGAAACTCTTGTCATTATCTTTGAACTCTATCTTGAAGAGATTTTCTTGGAATTTCGTTTGTGATTTCTTGCCTATAAAAAAGAGTCCTTAGTCCTCATTTAAAACACACCAAAATTACTTGCTTCGTGCCTTAGGAAGATCAAAAGAACCGTCCCTGCTTTGTGCCCTTTTTCTTCCATTTTCAGCTTCTGCCTTTGTGGTCTTCTGCCTTCGTAGTTCTCTGCTTTTGTGTTGCAAATCTGTGCTCCAAGAGTTTCCAATTTGGTGCTGCCTTTGTAGTGTTGGAACGATTTTCTGAGCCTAAAGAAAATGGGGATTATTAGTTCTTCAATTTAGTTTCTTCTCTATTTGATTTCCTTTAGTTTTTCATTAATTCTTTACTGATGCATTTGATTTGCTTAATTGTAGGTTAAATTAATGTCACACATTTCTACATTGGTTAGCTCTCAGTCACTAGTAACTCCAGGATGAAATTCAATGAATACATAACATATCATTTATTGACAGCGTATTGCACAGCATTGTGTTTGAACCTTTATGAAAAGCAAAGGAACTCATCTAATCCTTGCTTCCCTCATCAGTTTCTCTGGATCTTAAGCAGGTTTCCCAAGTAATCCTCAGTTCCGTAGATTGGTCTTTTGCACAATGCAAATTTTGGCATTCATATAAAAATTACAGAATCAGAAACAGAAAGTTCATGATGCATTATATATCTCTTTCTTTGCTTACATGGTAAGTACCTCATAATAGATTCTTTGATTGATCAAAGATGCTTCACAGCCTCATTAAACATTTGTGAACCATGAAGATCTCCATTTTACTAGGTTCTAGCTGCCACATAAAGGAATTGCAAATGACGATTTTGAGATTTATTGTTTACATCATAAGATGCATAATTATGTTTACAATTCTCCACATGTATTGTGCGAAATATTCTATAACGGTATTGTTACTGTTTTTCGGAAAAATTCTAGAATAAGTCAATTATCCTAGAAGACCCTGTTTGTTGAAAATTAAAATCTAGATTTTAATTTAAGTCAAAGTCAAAAAGAAGAGAGATGAGTGATAGAGTAACTAAACAATTTACCACATTATAATACAAGCGAGTGACCATATTTTGCAGAGAAAAAGAAGAAGATACAATCTTTAAAAATAAATCAGAATTTATATTCTGCAGACACTAAACTATCAAACGTCCTACTCAAAGACATAATCAGTACTCCAATTTAAAAGGGCAAAAAATCAATTCATTGTTATAATGCTATAATATTTATTCCTCTACTACTATAACTCTTGACATCTTCATTTTGGCACACTCATAAAAAGCTAAGTTGACAAAGCAAAGGAAAAATGCGTTTTTTGACATTTCATAAAATTGCATATATGAATTTTTCTAAGGCAGCGTCTTCATTTTCAAAAAATGCATATATTAATGGGATTCTTTGTTAAAGAGCCTGGTAAAATAATGTTTTTGGTTAAGCTTCTGTTTGTTTCCAATTTTTTTACCTCGTTTTAATATCTTTTCTAACCGTTACAAATGCAGCGACCGATTTTTTTGACTTTCTATCTCACAGCAGGGACCCGTGTGTTTGGAAAAAAAGGGTCACAAAATTAATTCTTGTATTCAAATAATGGGAAGCAAATGGAGGCTAAATACGGTTCTTGTTCAAATGACCTCCAATTATAAAACAAAATAATAAACAATATCAAATGTCATAAATATCCTCTCCATTGAAAAAAGACCTTAACACCCTTACCAATACAATTCAATTTTAGGTAATTTAGAATCCACAATTTCAGACACTTGTTTTCTTTCTCTTCAGCGACTGTGCTTGCTACTCTAAAATCCCTTTCATTATATTTTTCATCTATTTTGGACATTTGAACAAGAGTTTGTTTACCACACATCTACATTGAGAAATCTCATTTACATTTGAAGAAAGAAGAAATGTATCTTTAGAAATCTCATGTATTATTATTGAATATAGTATCGAATGATATTTTAGTTAGTGTTGTTTTCGTATTTAGTGTATTTTTTGTGTTGCCGCAACTATTGGATGATAATGACACTCCATCCATTATTTGCAGTATAGAACAACACTTCAACCATTATCTGCTATGTAAAACAACAATATAGTCATTATCTGTTATGTATGATGGAACTCTTTCCGTCATTAATAATACAATGTAGTTTAAATATGGCAATTATTTTCATATTACTTTGGTATATATTCTTGAGTATAACTTTATGAATTTATTTGCAACTATAAATTCTGTAGAAATTATATGGGTACAAGTATGTTATTTTGTTAAGTTTGAGAAGATTGGAGAAGGCAAATGGACATGAAATTATGTAGGGAATGGTGAAGACAATGTAGATCATATCTATGTTCCAACTAAGATCATATCTATGTTCCAACTAACATTTCGTATATAAAGTTGTACAACAAAGTGCAAGAGCTACTTAACGTGGATTCAAGGTCATATGAAATTGAGATGATATTTCTTAACTTTGGAAAGTCTAAGTTTTCGGTTAGACCACAAAGGATTAACTCCAACATGAAAGTGAAGAGGTTTCTTTCTATTTGTGAAAAACATCCTCTTTGTATAACTATTTTGAACAAAGTTGCAGATGAGTGTAAATGTGATAGTGTAAGGGATTTTGAAAGAGACGATGGAGCAGAAAAAAAGATGTGAGCAACCGAACAGTAATTGTGTAATACAATGGTGATTGTGGAATGACAACATAGAAGGAAACTTTGTAGATTGGGATAGCTTGAACATAATTCACGGTAGTCCCGAAAGACAAGATTTTCTGATAAATCTCCTCAGAGAGATGGGACTAATGTTAATTCCTTCACACACGAGGACAATATTGGTACTTCAACACAAGTTATGAGTTCAATTCCTTGTAGATCATCATTTACAATTTCACAAAATGAGGATCTACGCGATAAAGAACTATTTCCAACTAAAAGTGCTTTGACATCAAAACTTCAGCTGCTTTCTGTGAAGTGCCAATTTGAATTCAAAGCGAAAATATCAAATAAGAGTGCGTATATAGTTGTTTGTGTTGAGGAAAGTTGCAACAGGTGTTTTCTAGTAATGAGCCAAAAATTGCTTGGCATACTTGGCACACGATGAAAGAATCGACATAAATCCTACAAATGGGACCCAAAAATATTAATTATTTTTAGCTTGTTGCAAAGAGGAAAAGAGGGAATATACCGTCATCATATATGGTGAAAGCCTCGTGTAGTTTATTTGGCGTGACTTCTTTGTGAGAGCAATCTTCAACAACCACTTCTTCTTCTACTCTTGCCTCTTCATCTTGTACATTACTTGTACTACAAGCACCATCATCAAATCCAATTCTTTCTAACTGAAATCCATCTCTACCAACCAATTAGAGTAACAAATCAATTTTCCTTTTTACACAATCGAAAAGCTCTGATATCTCATCTTGCAGCCTTTCTTTACCTTCTCTTATTTTACTACATGAGCGATAAAGTCAACACAAGAGGGCGACGATCGCTCAGTTGTTTTTAGGAAAATATTGNTAGATTTTAATAAACAAAACTCACATTTGAATATTCCAAAAATGTGCCAAGTGTGTCACCCCTATAAGTTGCTTGTACATTTCCCAGTCTATCATTCTTGGAATTCTACCATTACCTATCACGTAATCGAACCTCTTTTTGACACTGTAAATTGCTTCAAACTCCCAAAACTATATAATCATAAATTTAATTTTCAATAACACAATTTAAAAAAATGTAATGTATAATATAGTTTTAGAATATATTGCCATGATTGCAAGAGGAAATTCATGCAGAGAATACGGATATTGTTGAAAACCTATATACTTTTTTAATGTTTCTCCCAAATTGCATTCGAACATCCTAACAATGTACTCATACGACTTTTTTCTCCTCGAGTAGTTGTTAAATCTATCAAGCTCATCAACCAAATAAAACCATTTCAAGTTAATATACATATTCTCCTCTGCTGCCAACAGTATATACACCAATATAACAAGGAGGCCCAGCTTGTATTTATCACTTTTATGCTTGCAAACGATTGAAAACATCTAATAATAAACTCCTATTTACTTTGCATTAACTACGCTTTAAACGGTCTTTCACATTCTACAATTTTGCCCTAGCGTCTCATCCTCTAAATCCCCAGCTTTAAACTCGATCGCGTCATCAATGTGAACTCTAGCAACCCAAATCTTGTAAGCTTGTCTCTAATTTTAATCTATACTTCATTTTCTTTAGAGGTACTTATCAACCTACAAATTAACTGGTGGACAAATTGCAATGCAGACTTTATGTACTTGAAGTTCAACAAATGTAAGTAAGAATTTATGAATAGGTCTTGATGCTTATCATCCAAAGCTGTAGAATATTTCTTTAATCAATTTTATTCTACACCTATTACTAATTTTTGAGTTTACTACGTTTTAAGCATCCATCTTTACCCGATGTAAAATGCAAAACAATAAAAATACATGACAAAACAATAAAAATATGAAAGATTTCGTGAAGCAACAACGGTTTTTTCTTTTGTTAAATTGGGGTACATTTCGTGCTTCTATAAATAGTTAATTATGGGATCATACGAGCTTCTAATTTCAGTTCTATAGTAAAACACCAATATATTAGCTCTTTTTGATTTTTTAAAACAATAAAAGCTTGATATTTTTTACTACATTTTCTCTTCATTTATCTCTTATACTGCCGATTACTAGCTTCCCTGAGTCCATTCTTTTCATAAAATTGAGTTAGGAATCTTATTTCTGCAATGCAATCATTCACCAAATTTTGATAAAACAGACAACTTAGAAGTTATAGGGAACACAATTTGGCAATAAGTCCACACTTTTAAGCTGTGGATCCCACAAATTTTAGGTAAAGTAATTCCTCTTAGGTGTCCTATTCTATCTTTTCAGCTTGAGATTGCTGCCATTTAGCCTCCACTGGGATTATTATTCTAGTATAGTGATAGGTTAAATTAAAAATGAAATTAAATAACTTATTTAAGTATAATTATCATTTAATGTCAATTTAACGACACATAGATTGAGATTATAACCTCAATGAGACTAAATAGCATTAGGGTTCTACATGTGTTGACTTGGTACAATTTTAGCCACCAAATGGAGCTTATTCTTAAGCTATAAGTCCATCCAAACATGCTTTAGTGTAAATACAATATCGAATAAATTAAATCATTCTCTAGTCAAATTAGCTCCTTTCCATGTAACGTTGATTGAAACATGATAGGTTGAGACATCCTAAATTAACACGTCTTTCCAATAGTTACCAAATCGAAGAGCACAAGTATCTTTAAAAATTCCGAAGTAACCCGCATCATTTATTCATAGACTCCATGTACAAGTCACAATCATGTTGTTTTGACACTAAAATCCAATTCACCTAAATATTTCGTTGACCATCATTTTTATTTTTATTTTTATTTTTGGTGAAAGGTCATGTAAATTACTGAGCTTCTGTATTACAAAGTTATAGGACAATTTGAGTTTCTAGTCACTAGAATTGAAAATCCCTTCATTTTAAAAATATCGACAATTTCAAATTCGCAATAATTAATGAAAGATTATAAATAATATCAACTTGAGTACACAAGATCAAGTGTACGAGATCTTAGGTGGATTCAAACACTTTGGTCCCCAAGAACATGCCAAAGCCATAGCTCTCTTTGAAGGTTTACCGTTTGCACGAATTTTGGACACGGTGCCTTGATGGTAGTTCAACAATGTCATGCTAGTGACTCCTTTTCTTCTACTGTCTAATTTGTTTGTTGGTCTTCTTCAAGATGCCGCTGTGGCTCTTTTAGCTTCATTCGGAAATATAATGGTCCTTAATTTGGCTACTTTTGCTCTGGTTGTACAAAATATAGTATTCCATTTGTGGGGTTGCTTGTTTGTGTCGATTGTTAATTTTATGTTGTATTTTACTAATAAAAATCTGTCATACGTGTACAAACTGTATGGATAAATAAAAACAATAGCAATTAGCATACTGACTAGGCAAAAAGCTCATCAACCACATATTGTCAATCTAATCTAGAATAATATATATAAATAAAAATGCAATTGACGTTCTAAGCATTGATGACCATTATTATTAAAAAATAATGTTTTGAATAGTGTTTTTTAAAAGAATGTCTTGTTAAAAAATATGAAAAAAATTCTGATTTCTCGTGCAAAATATTTTATTGCGTGAATGTGTTGTTAAAAATGAGTATGTAAAAAAAAAAAAAAGTTTTCAAATAATAGTTGCCAAACATGGTCTGAAATTGACTAAGGAATAAATTATATAATTACCAAAAAGCCCTCCACAAAAAGCTTCGATCCTACATAATACATGTAACTTCATCAAAATACAAAAACCTGTACATTCAAATAGTTGATTGCTCATCAAAATGCAGAAACAGTTTCGCTCAAAGACAGCTTTAGTTTTGAACCAAATAATTATGAGCAAAGATAGGCTGGCCATGTAGCGCGGTTCATTAATTATACAATTCGTACACTTACAAATCAAAAGCACTTTTCCAGTTATGTTCAGTCAATTTGACATCCGCAACACTTTTTTATTAACAACCAAACAGTCATCAGTTTTTTGGTAATAACTCTTTGGAAAAGCTCTACGGATAAAACTCTACTGATAAAGCTCTACTCACAATAGTAGTGTGCCAAACGGACCTTAAAAGAGAAATTACCCATCTAAAAGCAAATCAAAATGAGCTTTTATAAAGAGAAAGAAACTCTCCACTTCAGAAATAAGCAAAAAAGCAGTATGTTCATTCATAACAACTTCCAAATCACAATAAAAGACTCGTAACAACACTGGAAAAGAGCTGCCAAATATTTGTCTTAGTTTCTAATTGGAATGCTTGCTGTAATCCCTTCTGCTCTCAATTGTGACCTTCTTCTTGATCTCAAAAGTAACCTTGTCCAGATCAGAAACAGTGGCTAGATGCCCATAAAAGATTCTCATTTTCTCTCCAGTTGTCACATCCAATTTCACAAGGTTTGGATTGTTATCATCTTCCTTGTTAAATGCCGAGGAGGACTGCACACGGGCCCAATCTTTTCGCCCTCGGTTCTGTTTTTCAAAATGTTCCGCCAGTCGCAGCGCCTCCTTCAGACCTGAAGCACTACCGGGGAACTTCACCACATGAATGCCCAAATGGCCTTCCCTTGAAAACAAGGACATTGACTTGCCACTACTAAATCCAAGATCTGAAAAGCAAGATTCACAGAAGAGGACAAATGAGTGTTGAAGATTACAGCTACAAAGAATGGACCACAAAAATTATCAGTCCATAGCACTAGTAAATGGCAGATTTTATTGAGAAATCCCACAATCTCTTTCATAACTGTGGCACAATTGCAGAAAGTGGCTTCCACCATTCAATCTCTACAATTCTGCTCAGTCAGCAAAAACTAGCGTCTAGTTACCATTGGAGAAACTGTGCATGACAAAAGAATAAATTGCAAAAGGTGTGAAAAAAAGCCAAAATAAGATAGTTACCTACTTTCAAAGCTAGTAATAGCCCATCTTCATCACATTGAACATGACAGAGAAAGGGTGGAAGGCAATTAAAATAGTAAATACCAAACAAATTACCAAGAGTATACTAAAATATTGCCCGAAGGCAATCTCACCATGAAGCAACTAAAGCTATACATTGTCCGTAGTTACAAGTAGTTTGACGCTCAACAAGTCATAGTCAGATTGACTAGTGGCCACCTATCAATATTAAAAAAAGGAAAAGAACATCCAGGAATATCACCTCCAACAACTAGCATAAGGATTTATTTTTATTTATTTTTATTTGTCAATAATCTACGGCCCAAGAATATACAACATTAATGAGTAGAAAAAGGCAAATAATATCTACTCTCCTCTAGACCATGTGATTTATGCCCAATCAAGACTAACAAATCCATATGATATTTATGCTACATCTCGGGACGGAACTTTGGTTAGTTTAGTGCTGGCAAAAAATGGCTTTCAAACTCACATCCTGAAGCATACCAAAGGGGAGAAAATTGCAAAAGTTGGACTTGGAGAATACGATCAGACACAGTTTGAGACTCCTGTAAATAACAATATGAAAGCTTTGGAACTTCATTTAAGGGCATCTTTTTTGGAACGTATGAAGTACTCATTTTCTTGTCTTCTATCCAATTCCAAATTTACCAAAAGGCCTTTATGAAATTGAATGATACATTTTTACCTGATAAACGAGGATTCTTACACAAATAGTATGTATAAGAACGACAATAAGAGGAATGATCCCCTATCTTTGTAGTCAATTTGCAGCACAAATTGCAATTTTATCCAATCTCATAACTATATACACCTAATAAATAAAAAACAAAGCTAACTAATCGTAACCAAAAGAAACCAAAAATAAAGCAAGCACACAATTATAATTTCCAAATCTTGTTCATATATGTAGTAGAATATACAACTGAAGGCACTTGTAAGTAGAAACACAAATCATACATTTTGTGACAAACTCTTTACCGTAGTTTAATTTGCACAAAAATATTTTGCGATTCACAAAATTGAGAATACAAGGGTAGAATTGTCAAGTAGAGAATGGTCAGTTCTCACAGAGATTTGAGAACCTATTGCAGTGTCAGCAACGTCAATTTAGGAGATGATTCATGTGCAAATTGGAAAGTGTATTCTGAATCTTCCGTTTGTTTAGTCGTCTGTATTTTTAGGTGTGCTATATTTGGTTTGGACAGATAGTCCTTTTTTTCTCAGTTTCATCCTGGGGACTACAGCCCTAACAAGGGTGCATCCAAGGCTATATCATTTTCCCAATTTGAATGCACATCACAATATTGCAAGTCACAAGGCCTTGTAAATCCAGATTAATACACAACCTAGCTCGAATTAAAAGTTCAAAACTCAGAATAATTAAATTAGAGGCCTAAATGAATTTCACCAAATGATACTGCGAGTCGGCATACTATGGCAGGTTATTTAACAGTGCTCTTACATTGCCTTTAACAAAAACGACGAGAAAATGAGAAAGAAAGATAAAACGAAAAGAAGGGTGCGATCAAAACTAAATCCACCAGTTCTCTGATCAAGTTGACAGAAGATCGTGAGAGTAAGTATTTAAGTATCAGATGATATTCACTGGCCTTTCAATTCTCTTCATTTAATACAATTTTACCTGTGGCAGTCTGCACCATTATCCCTATATTTATCACCACCAGCAATCATTCCTTTAGTTCACCATACTCTGTTCTATACAATGCAGAACAGTTCACAATTGATTATCAAACAAGATTGGATATGTTTTCATAATTAGAACCCTTGGTTGTATATCATAATTTATCCACAAACTGGATAACAGTATAGTCAGATTAGAGAAAGAATGAGCTAGGCTGCGTCATATACTTTTAGAGCATGTTAGGCTAAGCATATGTACAAGTAACTAAGAGCATGTTTGGCTAAGCGTATGAGTGTGCAACTTATGCTTAGCCAAATATGGTAGTAATCATTCCGACCTTTCATCCAAAGCTAAGTCTATGAAGTATTGTTAGAAAATTTTGTTTGAAGCTTACACTACTCCTGTCTCACACGAAGCTTTCATTAAATGCATCGAAACTTTGCCTTAAAGTGCCTATTGTACAACATATACCTCAACTTTTTGGGCTATTTTTTGCAACTTGCAACGCATTTTTATTTTTTTGACGTAACAAAGAGAAGAATCAGACAGTGATGTGGAGGATGATAGGAGAATTAAACATGACGATGATTCCCTTAAAGATTTTATTAGTAGTGATGATATAAAAGACTTGGATTGATTATACATCTAAGAATAGATTTCAATTTTGTTTTTGATTACTAATTTGAAAACTTATTTTTTGTTACTTCATTGATCTATTTTATGTTTGTTTGCAAGTTAGACTTCTAATTTTGTTAATCTGATTTATTGTGGATTTTTAAGATGATATATGGTTTATCAGGACATATATTTAAATTCTTTTGAATTATTTTATTGGTTATTCTGACTCTTGAAGCTTAAGCCTCGCCTCGCCTCGCCTCGTATAGATAAAACACATCATTTCTCAATTGAACCTCTTTAAACATTAGTAATAAGATACAAGACAATGGGTAAATACCTTGTCGGAGAGGGATAACTTGCTCAAGTTAAACAGCACGAGAGAACTACTGAAACTAACAATTAAATTAAAAGAGCATTTCAAACAGATTAATGGTTAGACCTCAATCATAATCCCCAGTCACTACTGCATAATAGAAATGACTCCAATTCAAGTGGTAGCCTAGGGTGGCAGAACTTGCCTTTTCCATCACTTAAAGGATTCCAAAATGAAAGGAAAAAAGGGGCACTAACTTTCCCTCTGTGTATATTATACATGTTAGGCTGCAGGAAAATATGTGAACTCACAAATTTAAACTCTAGAAAGAAAAGTTTCCAGGCAAACTGTCTCCTGAAAGTTAACTTCTTAACTCATCATAATATTACACTACCAGCAAAGTGCTGAGCTATAAATAAAACGCCCCAAAGAGAACATACAGTAAAATGATGAGACACCTCTTAAACTGAAGACACAGAATATTAAAACCTGAATAACATTTCCACCCTTAAAAAGACCCCATCGATAAATTCCTACTATCTTGATTTGTACAAGGTTAAGGCCCAAGTGCCAATAATTAGGTGAGAGCAGACAAACACTTTCCATTAGTCTGGCTTACCAAATAGGACCATCATCCAACAAACTAAAGCTAACCCTCACACTGCTTAAAGGCAGGTTCCCAGGAAAGCTCAGCGCCCAAAATTATGAGCAGATGCAAGGCAATGAACCCAGCAGATTGGCGCTTCACGTGGAACTATGTGCAAGAATGTTTTAGAGGTTTAAATCCCATAATCATTAGAGTAAGATGACTACCTCAGAGGCATCATTCTTCAATTTCTATGTGATGATCAGACAAATATGCAAGTCAAACAAAGCTGCATCGCTAAAAAACTTTCGCTAACTAAACCTAAGCAGGAGTAAGAGTAGATTAACACAAGCAAGACAAATGTGTAGGTTTTTCAGTTACTTGCGCTCCAAGACAAACAAGTGGTCACGGCTGTGGTGGCAGTGTTAGAGTTGCATATGATGATGGTAAAGAAAAGCAGTGTGCTATATGGAAAAAATTGACGAAATACAAAATTGACAGTTGAAAATGGATATAACAGCAAGGGGTCCAACAAAGGCAGACCCATATAACCTCCTTAATGCTGTAAATATTATGCAAATCAATAGATATGATTTCCATGGAAGATCACCACATAATTGAAAGGACAAACCAGTGATAAATAGCAAGAAACGTGATGAAGACTCGAGGGGTGCAAAATACCTCTAAGAATACTATCCATTGGCCTGTTTCCTATACCTTCCATGCGGCCATCTCTACCTTTTCCTGTAAGTGTATTATGAATTAACACAGAAGGCGGCCACATAATCAGATCATCCCGGTTTGCTACTGCGTCGTCAGCAGATAACATCTGATATGCTTTTGAATTTTCAGGAGACATCAAATAGTTCCATCCCATCAGAATGCACAAAGCTTTGTGAAAGCCCAAGTGATCCACAAGCAACTCACCAGAATCTGAGTGGTATGTATGCATGATAAGACCATGCATATCTGGAAAATGTTTTGAAGTCCTGTATGTTTCATGTCAAAATCGTCGAGGAGTTTTCAGACACATTACAAGAAACAAGATAGCAAGATACCAGATTTAGCAGTCTTCTGTGGAATAAATCAGGCAGGCATTAAACTCCAGTAAGTGAATAAGCACTATTTAGTGTTACATCAACCAACAGGAATTGAGAAGAAATGATAAGTAGCAACAAGCACAAAATTGTAGCTTAAAATGTATTAGAACTATACAAGGTGTTCACCTAATGTCATTTAGTATATTGTTGCATATATGCCTTCCCTTCACCGCTCTCATCAAGTCATGTTTAATTTTTCGCAATGAAACAATATTTTGTTCAAAATATATAAGTGATAACCCCAATGTTCAGAAATAAGGATATAAATCAGTCAGTCAAAAAAAAAAAAAAAAAGTCAGTCAAAGGCATGACCAAAGAACCATTTCATGGATCCAGTACAAATGTAATTAACACCCAAAAAGATAAATATTGGGGAAAAATCATAACATACCCACTGACTAAAAAGATAAACGTAGGAGTATTCATGCCTGCAGAGTGGGCTCCGTACACATTGGCTTTGAACTCAGTACACATTGGCATTACAGCCATTTCTCACTCTAACATCAATACAAATACCAGGTCATAAATTAAAGCCATATACTGATGGAGCTGTAGGGAAAAATACACAGCCGAACTACAAATTTTTTTTTTTTTTTGGCAGGAGTACAGCTACAACTGCTTATGGTGTTATATTCCACTATCCATGCACACCCACACTCTCAAATCTTCCCTCAAGAGATTTGAGAAAAAGAAGATGGAAAATAACTCATTTCTACTTTTCTGCTTAACCCAAGTTTATATGAATTATATACAGTCAAAAACAACAAACCAGATTCATACACACAAAAGATTCAGGTGAACCTAACTGAGCACTTACTGCACCGTGAGTCTTTTCTCATTAAACATGTGCACCAAAAAAGAAATCAAACAAATAGGTGAATCCCCCAAAAAACTCACCCTAAAAGAAAAAGATAATTTATGTGACAGATGAATTATATGAATTATCCGCTCCAATAAAAAAAAAAATACAAGAACCACATGCAAAATATTTTGCCCACTTCCGCTTATTGCACCACGAGTCTTTGCTCATACGTCAAGCAAGAAGCTAAACTAATAAGTAAAAAGTCCAGTGGCCTCCACCCAAAAAAAAAAAAAGGAAATACTTCATTTCCAAAACCCACCCGCTCTCAGGTTCCGGCCCCAAAAAGATGATCATAACCTGATTGACAATACCAACTTAGCAAAGAGTGAGGATACTATGTACAAGATAATTTACTACGGAGAAAGCAAAAGTAGTCTTGAACATGAGTAGCATGTGCACAAGGAAATGATAGTATTAACACTATATGATGGTTCAAATTTACCAATTTTCAAGTGATTAATATCTTCGGTAGAGAAGAAAGTCCAACAGTTGGAAAGTAAAGCACAAGAATCAAGGCCAGTGCCAATTGAGCCTGCTTGCACATTACCGTACCCCTCAATGACAAGATCTAATCACCATAGCTACAAATAATATCTTGATAACCTTTTTAGCCAAATATGTTTTTTGCAAGAAGCTACTGTTTCATGTTCCCCCAACTATGGAACAGATAACAACGAAAAACTTGGATTCATCACTTAATCCAAGAAATTACAGAAGATATGAGACTAAAATAAGCCATTCCTTTAGCGGATCTGTCAAGCCTGGCTTCTTTCCTCCTACCAGAGGTAGACTAAGATTTTTAAGTGTAATGCAACTATAGGCTCCTAAAATTTAAAACTCTAATAACTAAACAGGGCGTCTGATGAAATTATGAAGACAAATGCAAGTGTTTTTAATACCCAAAGCCGTGATCATTCAACTACTAAAGTTAAAATACAAATCCAGTAAAGCATGAAGCTTACATAATCAGATTACTAGATTAAATCAAAAGAGCAATTGTATTTGAATATAATGTCAATTACACAGCAATGTCTCGTAGAAGGCGCTTGCCTCCCTCCTTATAGTGAAGTTCTCCTCCTCATAAACAACCTCCTGCCAGTATAGTAGCTATAATAACATTTTGCCTTTCAGCTATAGGCATTCATAAACTAGTAAAGATAGAAAAATTAATCACATCTACTCAACTCCTAGCCCTCTCCAACTTTAGAAGTCTACTCAAAACAGAGCTTCGGCATAGGTGTGACAGCAAGGCAACAATATTAAGTTTATATTGAAAGATAAAAGAATACAATAATTTATTAACCAAAAACTAAATTATGCACATTTACATCCGCTGACAATTGAGATCAGAGTTGATCACAATGCATATATTCAATTTCGAATCTTCTAAAACAAGGTCTCACAACACATTTGTTGATAACTGCTTCTAGCCATTTAGTAAAACAAAAAATCCATTAGACACATCTGGCAAACCCGAAACCACTTTTTATCCAAGTCTCAAATTACCTTTTTGGAAAAAGTAAGTAACCAAGGGAAAGTATCAGTTCAACAAGGCTAACCACAAATATGAGAAAGCTTGTTAAACAATAACAAATTAGCAACATCAGCTTGAAGACATAAAATGTCAGAAACCATTCAATGATCAACTCACACTAATTTTAACAGAAATGCTGCAATTACTTATCCATATAATGATAATATACATAGAGACAAAATCACAAGTCTTAAAACACCCCTATGATATATATTAGAACAGCAGCATTCTAAGGTCTAACTACACCAATCATCAAGATTAAGGGAAAAATGATGAAGAACTCAACAAAATGTATGTAAAGTCCATGATAATTGAGTGTAAAATGAATGAAAAAAAATTAATAAAATAATTATCATTAGCAGCCAAGTAACACAGAGTGGATCTAGTTCTTTAGCTAATATGTAAAGGCTCTTAGAAAGATAATAAGTAATAGGCCATCTTCCATAAATAAACACTGTAGGAAAATCCAATCAGGCCTTAAATAGACCCTGACAGCCAAGTAACAAAAAGCAGATCTAGTTCTTTAGCTAATATGTAAAGGCTCTTAGAAAGACAATACACACGGGGCCATCTTCCATACTAAATAAATTACATAGGAAAATCCAAACAAACAACCATGATTCCAGTGAACGAATCCCCAAGAGGTGCAATAAGACACCAATGACATCTAAAGTCTAACTGACAAATTCCTTTGGCTTAAACAGCAACAATGCCTCAATATCAAGTTACAAAATGACCTTGACAATGAGGACAAGTAGTGAATCAAAGCATAAGTGAGCATAAATTTTTAGTGCATGTATTTATTCATTTAAGGCCAGGAAAAGCACAATAAATTGTTGAGTGAGTCTCATCATTGAAACTTACATCCAACACGTGAGGAGCTATATTAAGTCACTCAAAAGAAAAAGGATAGTGCATTGGTTTAGCTCACTGTAAGTATAAGGCAATGAAGTGGTCAAAGAGCAGTGAAAATTTTGAAGAAAAAGGAGAGAGAAGAAAGAATGAACAAAAGGAGGAAAAAATTCTTGCATTTATTCCATAAGAAGGAGAACTACTAAGTCACAGAAAAAGGATGATGCATTGGTTCACTCTAAATCGAAGGAAAATGAAGCAGCTAAAAAGGTGTGAAAATTTGAAGAAAAATGTAAGTGAAGAAAGAACAGCTCACATTTATTTTTCAGAATAATTGCATGGTATTTTGTGGTCAACCAACGTGAAACTTTAGCATGTTATTCATGAAAAAAGGTGAAAAACATTCATAGCTGTGTTGATAATTGATTGTTGTTCCTCCTTTGCCCCCTATGTCAAGCAAACCAACTGGTAAGGTTGTTTCTCATATTTCCTATCCACATTTTGCTGATAACATATTGCTATGTTGGCCAGGAATGTTTATTACCTATTACATATGGTTACACTAACATATTGCTATGTTGGCCAGGAATGTTTATTACCTATTACATATGGTTACACTAGCCTTTAGTTCTAGCATCTGTTTAAGAAAAATATTGTACTGCAAATTTGGCAAAGCTTAAATTTTTTTTAACTGGTCAAGCATACTTTTTTATCAGCATAGTTGGACGCACTTACTACCCACTTATTATCAACAAAACCTACATCTTATAAGCACTTAAACTAACATTTAAGCTTTGCCAAATGCATGTAATCCTATAACTTTTCATAGTGGAAGTATCTTGTTATACTACAGTCCTGCAGTTTTTTCATTTCACACTAAAGAGTTTATATATTTATTTTTGTATTTATCATTTTTGGTAGGTTGAAAATTATTAGAAATCATATTTTGATTACATAGGGAAGGAAGTTAAGTTTAGACATTACTTATCAAAAAAAAAAGTTAAGTTTAGACATTTCCATTTGTACAGTGACTATTTATGTAGAATGTCAATAAAATAGCATAACTTTGGGGAGCTGAAATTATGAAATCATGTGTAAATTAAGATGATGAGAGTTTAGACACCATCATTGTTCTTCACCAATTACTTCATCTAGAAGTCTCAAGGATGAAGAATGTTCTGACAGTAAGAATCTACACAAGCCTGCTGAAGGAGATGGATTCAAGCCAAAAGGGAAGACCAGTAAACAATGGAAGATTATAACCATTAGAACCGTAGGACAATTTCAACAATAGATTTTATTCTGAGTACATTACACCCTGTTGCCAAGGAGATTAATGCCCACAGAATTGGAACACGTTGGAATATATAGAAAAAACCCAAAACAAAACCTTTACCAACAGGAAAGTTGAAAGTTTCAAAATACAAAGAGGGTTATGCAGTTGCAGAGAGTAAGAATAACTTTAAAGATATGGTGAATCATCTAACCACAATGAAGTTGTGGACAACGATGAATTTATCTTCCTCATCTGTTCTTCTTAATCAATCAGCTTTTCATATTTCTCATTGTTTCATAGCTATTTGCTTTGGTTGATGATATATTAATTTATTAACCAATATTATTTATTGTAAATTGTATATGCCTCCTATACAATAGTCTTGTCAATGGACAACAGTCTTACGTGAAAGTCGTTTATTTTTGTTATTATTCCACGAGGGTATTAGCTATTTTCATTGATTGATGATTAAAACACTGTTCTGATAAGAGAGAGGAAAAATGAACCTTTCCTAGACATTTTCTTTTACATTGTGATTTAGACAAATCATAACACCAATAATTCATTCAATGATTTGCAAATCATTAATATGAGAATATCTATTACACCCTCATGCCATATCGCTTCCAAGGTGCACCCAATCTATAGCATAATGGTTGATACTCAGCATAGCGTGCAATATGTCTTGAAACATTCAATAGAATGTCTGTAAGGAACAAAGAAGCACTGTCTTAATTCACTTAAGATTATGACTACATGCTAGTTTTTTTTCTTGAAAATAACTATCGTGTGTAGACGATCACCTCTATGTAAAGTATAAATATACACGTAAATTTACCCTAATACACTTCATCAAGTGTTCAAACCATACTTCTGCCCAAGACAGTACCTGCACAAGAAATATTTTTCCATTACAACTACCTGGTCTATTTCAAACAACCATTGTCTTTAAAACTCATTACTTTCTGGGATCGGGCAATTACGAACCTTACGCAAACACAAAACATGCAACATGCGTAATTAAGTCCATGCGATGCAATTAGACATTAAAAACATAAACCACAACATAAAATTCTTGTTCAGTCATAAATCAATGTCAGACCTGCCACAGGCAAGACACTGGAGAGGCCCTTGCTTTCCATCAGCCAGGTAAGTCCTTTTCTGATTCGCATTCTCGTAAATTAACTTCACAAAATGTGAAAATGCTTTTCTTAACGAATTCTGATCAACATCATTGTGCTTAAGTTTACCCATATTCACCTCACCTGTCTTCATATACTTAGTAGGCCTCATCTCCTCACCACTCCCCAAATTATACAGACCACTCGGGCCAGGGCCATTTGCATTTGTACTGGCATTTCTGTACTGCAAAGTATGCTGGGGTTGTCTATCAAACGCATCATTTCCTTTCCTCTCTTCTTCCCCAAACTTTCTCTTCATCGAACTCTCAGGCCCTGGGCCCAGTGAACTCCAATACTCTTGATTGCGGGCCCTTGCAAACGGGTCATCCGGGCCACGAAACTCCGGCCTGAACTCCGGCAGGAAATCAGGACTCATTGGGAAATGAGGCCTATCAAGCCCAAATTCTGGAGGGCCACGAAATTCGGGTCGGAATCCAGGCCTTGGCATGGGCGTAAAATTCGTGTAATCAGGCGGCAACGCTAAGTATGACCGGACGGAGCCATCCGCGAGGATTATAGTCCGTCGGTCAAGCATGTGGAACCCATAAGCAGGTGGTGGAGGCGGGTCCGGGAATGGAAACACGGGCTGTGGACCTAAATGGGCATTCCGGTTTTCGGGTATGAGCGGGATTTCTGATCTGGGTTTAGGTTTCGGGGTAGGGGGTTTATTATTGGCCTCTTTACTTTTGTTTGGGGTGGTGATAGTGGTGGTGGTTTTACTGGAGTTAGGTGAGGGTTTTGGTTTGGATTCAGCCATGGAGGTAGATGCAGAGCCCGAGGGTTTATGATCGATTGCCGCGGCTGAGGTTGAAGATTCCCACCGGGATTTGTGGTGTTGGGATTGTCCGGCTGATGAGGAGGAAGGAGGGGGTTTGGGAGTGTTGCCTCCTGCCATCCTCAGAATAAACCAATTGTATGTGTGATAAACATGAAATAAATCAGAGTGTACTCCTCTTGTGTTACACTCCTCAGTGGAGTGTGCGCAGACACTTCATCGTGAGAAAAGTCTAATACATGATGTACACTCAAGAATGTACATCAAACATCTCTCGAGAAATATATGAATGTATTAGATTGGTGAAGTGTTGACAGAGAGAGGAGGGAAGAAAAAAACAGTGGAATAGGGCATACGTTTTGTTTGACTTGAGGTTTGAATAGGGATAGCAAAGGAGCGGAGCGTCCCTCTAAAAAAAATTTCCGTCACATTACCCGTTTAAGGCAAGGCAAGGCAAGGCGGGGCGGGGTGGGGTCTGGGCGAGTGTGGGTCTTTTCCCCTTTTATTCCCCGTTTAAATTTATTTTATTTTTCTTTTAATTTTTGATAATTTATTTTTATTGTCCATATTCATTAGATTTAGACAAATAATTTTAGTTGCTATTTTCTATTAGAACTAATGAAAATTTAAAAAATAAAAAAAAATTTAACGGGGCGGGGTCCCCGTTACTTGATTAAGCGATTATCCCTGCCGCGGGTATCGAGTTTGTCGAGTTTTTTTGTCATCTCTAGATTTGGAGGTTATATTCGGATTAATGATTGAAAATATAGAGAAACGTTTCTACGTGAAAATTTCCCCGTTTGAAACATTTGGTGTGAAAAACACACATGTCATCAAGATTGATCAAATTTGTTGTTAAAGCCTAATAAAAAGGGGCGAAAATAGAAAAATTAGAAAGGGAAAATGCGTCATTTCCTATTTTCCTCTTTAATAAAATCCACCCAAATCAGTATAGGGGTTTTGTGCAAACAAAAAGATAAGATTCTTCCGATTGATAACCTACGTTTCAAGATCCGATCATTCTTCACCCACGATACTAAGGCTTTGTTTAATCTTTACTATTTTCCATGGAAGTTCCAACTTTTTTCTTGTTTGATGGCCAATTTTATCTGGGCAACATGACCCATTTTTTCAAGTTTTCATTGAATTGGTTTTCCCACCACTTTTGTGGAAAAATAGTTTTCCAGCTTTTTTTTTTTACAATGAAAACAAATTATATCCCCAATTATTAAAAAAAAAAATCCTTTTAATGGACAATTTTCATGGAAAACAAAGTCAAACGAACACCAAAAGATCCAAAATTTCAACATTTTTCAATTGAAAAATTATATCAATCAAACATAATTAATTGACAATTCCCGAGAAAACAAGTTCTAAACAATTATTTTCCCCGAAATTTATTTTCTTTCCACCCATTTTACAATCTTGCAATCAAACGGACCCTAAAGGTTTCTTTTAGCACTTATGAAGTTCCAAAGCTAAGGTGTGGCAGTAAATTGTAGAAGCGGGTTTTTATTTTTAAAAATGCATGCGTGAAACTTGTGAAATTTTGAAATGGGGTCTTGAAATTAGTTTTTTTTTTTGTTATATTTACAGTTTCATTGTGATTATCGAGAATGGAAGCTCCAAAACTCGAAGAATTTGAAGAAGCTCTTGTGTATGGTAAGTTTCTATGTTTTTATAGTTTAAGAAATGAAGTTTTTTCATTTAAATTTTTTATGTGTTGTTAAAATTTTGTTGTAAAAGGTGTGTACATGTTGTTTGTTATTGGTCTTAAACTGATTTATGTGCTAACCCTTGTTGACATTATTATCCAGCCAAATACATGGACTACTTCACATGGATGTATACATTGGTGGTGTGTTCTTCGATAAGTCGAATAATATGAAGTACGAACATGGTACCACGATGTTTGTGGACTTCGTTAATACTGATTATTTCAATTGGGAATGGTTCAAAGCTCTTGATTATGTTTGTGGAGACTATGGGCCTTTGGAATTTTACTTCAAGCTGTAGAAAGCAAATTTAGATAGTGCTTTGAGAAGGTTGCGTAGTGAATCAAATGTGAAGGAGATGTTGAAAAACCTTAAAAGATATAGGTTGCTTGAGATTTATGTAGTTGTCCCTAGCCAGACATATGCATTACCTCAATAACCATACAAAGAACCAGTACCTAGGTCCCAGAGAGTAGTTCCCGTAATGAAAGGGTCACTGGCGGGCCTAGGGGGGTCCAAGGGAGGCACGTGCCCCCCCACTTTTGAGATTTTTTTTTTCAAAGTCTTGATTGGTATCAATTGAAATCTAAATTTAGTTTAAAAGAATGTACATATGTCTGGGAGCACTGAAGGTGAGATTCATGATGTCGGTCCCAGAATAATGAAAATCTTTCAGAAAAATACAATTCTTTTGTGGTCTGAAAACACTGACTTCGAGGAACCAAAAGTTCCAAATACGGCATCATGAAACTTAAGCTCTACAAGAAATAAACCTGATTGCTATGACCTATTCATGTCAATTGTGGCAGTTAATACCATGCAGCTATATCATTACGGCACGACCATCACAGGGCGTGCAGAATGTAACAGATTACGTCGATTATACATATAAGAAGGAAGCATACATTCGGATGTATAGACCAACAATGTCCCCAGTGACAAGCCTAGACACATGGCAGAATCCTGGACTTAATCGTTTGACACCTCCTATTTACACTAAGAAGGCTAGGAGATAAAATAAACAAAAGCGGAAAAAGGAGGCAAACAAAATACTGACACCGTCTAACACCATGGCATCCACTAATACACATTCATCAAGGAAAGGAATGATGATGAGGTGTTCTTTATGTTGTGCTTCTAAGCACAACAAGAGGAACCACCAACCGTAAACTAAAATCGACATTTTGGGTTTATCAGTTTGTTCTTATTTTTGTATTGTTATTGGTGGTTCGATTGCGTTTACTGTTGTTGCAATTTATTTGTAGAGATTGAATGGGTTCAGTAGTATAGAGTTGTAATTCGCAACCTTTGTCATTCTAAGGTGATTTTGTGCATATAAAAAATATGCTTTAAATGCCTCTAGTTTAGAATAATACGAGGTTGTCTATCACATCGTTATACGTTTCTAGAGTTGTATTATGAAACTTATTCAATGTTTAGGGAAGTTTTTCGAAACCAATTTTGATCAGATGCTGTGTCATACAGCCGTATACCAATGAACAATCAGGCAAGAAAAAAGTGAAACATAAAAGAAAATTGGAACATAACATTAAACATCTAACTTACAGAACTTGAATACAAAAACAGAACATTCACTAACATCCATTCAGTATACACATATGCAAGGCAATTGAAGCTTTATTTTTCACCAAAAACTCACATCATCATACAGAAACCCAAGACCTAAATCTAAAAGCACTGCTCTGCCTCCGTAATTCCAATAGCTGTTGTTCGAGCACTATCATGGATCTCAGAGCTCAGGTATGATATCCATAGACCTACTGCACGTAGGTGAGTCAAACCACAAAAAGTACCAACAACCTTCATTTTGCTGTAGAAAATAAAAAATATCAGAGCTTGAGCATACTCAATAAAAAATGGTTCAAAAATTGTATTTAAGTTTACATTACCAGGCGTCGTGTGCATGTGAAGAACCTTGTTTTCGGGTTCGCTATCATCCACGAAGTATTCTGCTCAATCTTCATTCCACACCTGCATAGATGAGAGTCCATCGCAGCTAAGGATGAAGTGGTTGCAGCTACATGCAAAAGAGACGAAGTGGGTGTTAAGTAATGAAATGCCATTAAAGATGAAAATAAAGAAAATGTTGATTTGGGTGGGCTTTATTAAAGAGAAAAATAAGAAATGACGCATTTGTCCTTTTTATTTTATCCATTTTCCCTTTTTATTGAGATTTAAGGACAAGTCTGACGAATCTTGATGACATGGATGTTTTTAACACAAAATGTTTCAAACATGGAGTTTTCGTCAATTTTCAACTGTAAGGGGGTATATCGCACATGGAAACGTTTCTAATGGGTTTTCTACTATTAATCCGATTATATTTTATTGCCATCAAAAGGTTTTTCAATCATCATTATATTTTATAAGTTTTCTTTTACTAGAGTTAAATGTTTTACTAATCATCAACTTATCCTATGGTCATGATCTACTCAATAAATTTAAAAGTGATTCACAATGTTCACAAAAAGTTTTGTTTATTTGCACTCCATCCATCATTCATTAAATTCTGTTTTCTTCATTATGACATGTCAAAAGAAAATCCCATGTGAAGTTATAATCGTTAAAAAAATTACAACTCAACCAAATTATCCAAGTAAAATATTTCATTACTAATCCAACTTATACTATGGTCACTATTTACCTATCAAACTTCAAAATACTTTCCAATGATCACTTATCTTTAAGAGTTACATTTTATCCATAATCCATCAAATTTTGTTCCCTTCATTGTCAACTTGTCGCACCGAAATATCACGTGACAAGTTATGATCATTAATAAATTACAAATCAGCCAAATTTTCCAACTCAACAAAACTGTCATATTTGAGATGCGGTCCCATAAACTTCTTTAAGCCCGAATAATTCATCCAGAATTTAAGCCCCAAAAAATCTACTTCCCAAGTCACTCATTTCACCTACGTACATCTAAATTATATTGAGACATGGTCGATTGTTGAAAAGAAAGTGAGAGGCTACTACTTATAAAACCTATCATCTAATCTCAATCTTCTACTTGTGCATACGTGTGCCTGATAAAATGTAAACAATTTCTTCTTCTTTTTCTTCCACCCACCCCACCACACTCACAACCACGTACTACTATCCCCACCTGTGAGAGCGAAGGAATTAAATGAGATAACATTGGTAAAGAGTAATTAAAGAACACACTTAACAAAGAGTTGAAGAGATGTTTATAATATCTTCAAACTAGTTAATATAGTGATTGTTCGGTTTAGTTAAATTTTTTTTTTTATAAAAATCTAAGTTAAAGTCAACAATTAATTTTAATTATATATTTCTTTGAGTCCACAATTTTTATCAACTTTTCAACAATATATTTCATTAAAATTTATCAAAAATACTAAAAAATTGAGTTTTAAC